TTAAAAGTTCTTTAAATTATACATTATAATCATCCCAAAAATACATGTAATAGTCATACATATCAAATTTAACAAGAATAGTATATTACAAGGCATGACAAATTAAAACTTTACAGAAGTCATATGTTTTTTCCCAATCACTATGACCCAATTTGAAAGGCGGTCTACATCAATTTCATTCAAACTTCTCGATAAAGATCATTAGAATCACAAAATATTGCGAGTGTAACACATATAATGGGACACCTCCTTCCCATGCGAGCACGTTGCCCAAGAAGTATGAAATGTAGGATCTTAGTGTTGATGTAATTCTTGGGATTAAAATCACATAAATACATGAAAGGTTGATATTGTCTCAATCACACTTCATTGAGGAAATATTTCACAAGTACAAGAACTATAATATTAAACACATGAGAGCTTCTTTTGAATTCAGTGTTCACCTTATAAAAAAGCAGAGGTGAATGACTATACTCGGGTCATAGGCATATTAATATATGCCTTGAATGGCATGCGGCCTACTATAGCTCCAGTAGTTAATAAGCTAAGACGATTTTCAAATTATTCCAGTAAGACAATATTTGATGTACACCGAAGACATTAAATTACATTATCGTATATATCCAGCTGTACTTGAAGGATACACCATTGCAAATTGGATATCTGATTTCAAGGACATTAAATCAATCTATGATTTCAAGGACATTAAATCAACAAATGCATATGTTTTCCCTTTGAAGTGGTGTTGTGTCAAAGAAATCTTCCACACAAATTGTATTGCTAGATCCACTATAAAAGGTGATCGAATTCATTTTCTAAGATAAGACTCGAGAAGAAGTTGAATGGTTGAGAGAGTTTTTGGAAGATCTTTCTTGATGGAAAAACATGCATCCAATATACATTTTATGTGATAGTCAAACTGCAATTGGAAGAGCAAAGGAGATTGCGTATAATAGTAAGTCCAGTCACATCCATTGCAAACACAATACCCTTTTAAAAATATTAAAGAACGAGATCGTCTTTGTTGACTACGTTAAGTCAAAGGAAAATATTTGGACCTGTTATCTAAAGCATTGTCAAAAGTGTTGGTTGAAATGTCAAAAAGAGCGATGCGCATATGAATAATGGTCCAATACGTTCATGCATGGAGAAACCATGTCTGTTATTGAGAGTGCCTCATAATTAGGTTCAAAGGGAAAATAAAATCATGGACACGTCTCAAGTGGTACTAACCAAGATTTTAGTACACTCATGTCAAGTGGGCTTATGGCAAGTTACACTTTTAATGATCTTTATATTTTGTTGTGTTCAAGTAGATGGCATGATACTTTCGATAATGATCACATATGCTCGTGAGAAGGGCCCACTTCTATGGGAGTCTATGATATGAGATAAACTATTTAAAATACTTGTTATTAGGAGGTGTTCAATTAAAAAAACGAATACAAACATGAGAATCAAATATGCGCATTGGGCCCTGTGTATTATTCATTGACTAAATTTACATGGCAACATACAATTCAAGACGGAAATGATTACTAATTGAGTAAACCCAATGTATATACAATAAGGTAAGTTCAAAATTTCACGACTACTTATCATGATGCAGAGTTCCTGACTTTCTTTGTCTAGAACTCATTTATTTACTCCCTCCGTCCCACTGGACATTGCCAACTTTCCCTTTTTGTTTGTCCCAAAAAACTTTGCCACTTTCCCTTAAAAGAAATGAATTTGTGGCTCTATTCATTTCTCTCTACTCTGCACAAACCTCAACCACACAGTTTTTACTATTCTAATTTCCCACCTAACATCAATTTGGCAAAGTTGAGTGGGATAGAGGTAATATGTCTTAAGTCAATTTCCCATTCATTTGAGGATTGTTAAAATAATGATTTACAAATTAATATTTTAGTCATTTCGGATCTAAAATACATAAGGCTCCATTTAAAACGTGACTATTCTCTAATCATTATGTAGTATTAAATTGTGAAAAAGCTTTTGAAGTAAATGAGAAATTGTCCCAGGAAGCTCCCCCAAAGCAAATTTCATGAAGGAAATTTCTCACACCAAATAAGCAAAGTATAAGCCAACTTAGTGGTGGAGTCGGTTCGGGCCACCCGGCCCGTGACCCGGCCCGACCCGCTACTGTGCGGGCCCGGAACCGGCCCGATCCGACGGGCCGGGACCGGGTGTTGACCTGAACTGGGGGAAAAGTGGGGGGCGGGCTCGGTTTCGCAAAAGGGTGACCCGACCCGGCCGGGTCGGGCCCGGGTCCCGACGGCTAGTTTTAAAAAAAACAATTTGGTCTAAAAGAGCCGTTTGGCCAGGGCACCACTTCCCAAACGACTATATAGTCGTTGGGTGGGTTGTAGGGGGGGTCCGGGCCTTTTGGGGGGTGAGGGGAGGGTGGGGGTGGGGTTAAAAAAAACTATAAATACTCCTAATTTTAAACATGTTTCCACACCTCTTCTCCAACTCTTCCTAAAGAGGTGTGAGATATGTTTCTTTTCCTAAAGATTTGACTATTCGTTGGAATAGTACTTATAAATTACTTAAAGTTGTTCTTAGATATAAAGACCATTTTCCTGCTTTTTTAAAACAACATAATAACTATAATATAAACTAGGTTGACATCGACACTTGCGAAAAAATTTGTAATGTTTTGATATTTTTTTAATGCAACTGAAACTTTTAATCATGTTTATAAATCTACCGCAAACCAATTTATTTGTGAAGCTGTTAATCTCGCCGGTGCTTTTAAAGAATTTGAGAATGCCGTTTACGTGAGTTATTTTTGTGATTTTATGAAGGAAAAGTTTTTAAAATATTATGCACATATTCCGCATATTTATGGTATTGCATTTATTCTCGATCCTCGTTTTAGACTAGCTAATTTGGAAGATTGTTTCAAGTTCTATTATCTTGCTTTTTTTGGTGAATTTGCAATGTGGGACGATAACCCCATAGATCCGAAAATGGAGTACAACGAGGTTAGTACTTTATTTTATGCCTTATTTAATGAGTTTCATGCACAATATGGCAACGCGCCCCCTCCCCCGACACGAACATCTTCATTTAAAGGAAAAACAATTTTTAAATCTGCATTTGGCAATATTATGAAAAAAACCAAAACAACTCACGCTACTGAACAAAGCATAATAAATGAGATTACTTCGTATTTAACATATGAAGTTGAATTTAAAGAAAATGATTACTTTGACGTTTTAAAGTGGCGGAAGTCAAAAGAAAGAATGTTTCCCATTTTAGCACGGATGGCTAAGCAAGTGCTATCAATGCCGGTTTCAACAGCTGCCGTGAAACAAGAATTTAGTTTGACCGGCAACGTCCTAACGGCATCTAGAATGAGATTGATTGCAAACTCTCTCGAGACGCTTATATGCTACCACGATTAATTGAAGGCCGCACGTAGAACTCAAGAAATGAGCATCACCCCCTCCCAAGACTTTGTGGATGACTCAACAATCGATGGTGGCTCTACCTATGACGGAGATTCCGATTGATTAGTATTTTATAATTTATTATAAAATGTATTTCATGTTTTAATCTTTACCTCAATTCTCAATTGTAATTTGTAAACTTGTACTTCATATTTCAAATAAATATGCGTTCATTTTTTCATATGTAGCACTTCTCAAATTAATTAATTGGTTACAAACTTACAACTTACAATTAATTTTCTAAAGGCCGTTTTTAAATTAAAAATAGTTTTACAATATGTAATTTGTTTAAATAAAATAGCTTACAATTAACTTCAAAAATAGCTTTACAATTAACTTTGTTTTTAATAAGCATTTGTATAAACTATAAAGTATAAAAAAAATTAAACTGACCCGGCTCGGCCCGGCGGTTGACCCAACCCGTGACCCGGACGGGTGACCCAGCCCGAACCGACACCGGCCATAGCACGGGCCGGTCCCGGCCCTCCTTCAAAAAAACTGAGGCCCGACTGGGCCTAGGCCTGGCCCAGGCCCGACCCGGGTCAATGACTAAGCCAACTATTGATATTGGATTAGGCCCCAAGCGGCACTAGAAATTGTTGAATGTTTAAACTGTCATTTCCATTCACACACCTTCATCCGGTTGTGCATCGTTTGAGTCACTGGAGTCGTTCGGAAGGAAACTCATTATATCCTAAGAGACGATTGCATTGCAAACAGATTCAATTACTAGTCAGTGTTTATTTTATACGGAGTATACAGATTTCAAGACATGGAAACAACAATTAATTTACCATCCATTAATTTTCAATAAATCTTCCACTCAGATTGGACTGTCGTAGAAAGTAAACACGTTAATGAATGTAGATAGCCGAGCTCGATTAAAAAATCATTTCAAATGGAAACGATTTAACCAGTCACTTGCCCTTTTTCTATATGAAATCTTTAAATAAGTAAACTTTTGTTGATCATTATGAAGTATGAACAATTGTACCTTATTCAATCATGAGGCAAACCATTTGGCGCATAGTGGTCTTTGGACTTTGCACCCCATGGTACGAGCACGGATCCTCTCCAGTAACTGGATGCTTCCAGTAGCATCCAGTTGGAGAGAGATAGAGAGGAGGGAAATTATGGTGGTGTATGTTGGTGAGTAAGATAGAGAAAAAGGTAGAGATCGATAGGAAGAAAAAAGAAATGGATGGGAAATGGAGAGGAAAAAATGGAGGAGCTGGACTCCCCCATGGTACGAGCAAATATTTGCAAACCATATGAGACCTTACTATAACATATGACTAGGAGATAACAAAAATAAAAAGTACCGACTGTGAGTGTAATCAAGTGAAATTATTCTTTTTTTACCGCACAATGAACGTCGTTGGTCTAATTACTCCGCATTGGTTATTACCAATAATGTTAAGCAACCCATGCGGAGATGCTTTAATGTACCCGCGGTGTCAAAGAATTTGATATTTGTTCACAGCTTCCAATATACAAAGTATATAACCTCCGAATCTACCTCCAACATACAATACCGACGGCCACCGCCGCAGATTACACAGAAAGTAGATCAGAAACACTGTTCGTGTAAAAGTCCGGTTGTATTGCGTTTTTGGGATCTTGCAGCATTGATAAACTTGTCACACCTGAAACACAACTCAATTAAACAGTTAAAGATACTGGTAAGCAATGAGGTTGTACTGTTTAGTTGAAATAATAATAACTCAAAAGAATATCTTTTAATTTTTGTAAATGTCATCCCTTAATTGGAGTCTGTAGAACGTGTGGATGTAGTAAATTAGTCATTGCTGAAGTCTATAGCAAACTCTGTTTCTTTCTAGGCTTAAACAAGTTTAGTCTTAATTGGAGTTTGTTACAGTATCCATGTTACACAAGTAAAGAACTAGATATGCAAAAAAATGAACGAAAGAGATGGCCTTACAAACAGTGCAATTTCCCCCGAAAACATACGGAGTATTAAATTATTACCTGAGAGAACAAGAAGAGTTTTGCAACCACCGTTTTTTCCGAAAAGTATATCAGTATCAAGTCTGTCCCCCACCACGCATATCTGGGATTTCTCAATCTTGAACCTATGTAATAGGTATCATGGCCAAAGACGAATGAATAGAGTAGATTTGGGATAATATTGGTCTTCACATCATATTTTTCTGTTTTATCCCAACATTTGATTTTACACTGCATGGTAACACATAACCCTAAAGCAAGCCATTTCAATTATATTTTGGGCCCACTCTGGGGCATTTTAGGGTGCATGTTGAAATAAAATAAAACATTGATCTGAAGTCAAATATTTGGGTATACCATGGTGTGCAAAGACCCATTTTTCTGGATAATTTAAGATAACACGGAGTACAGTGTAATGTGGAACTTACTTGTTTGATAAGTAGTCCATCATGAAAGTTGAAGGCTTCCCTACAACAAGTGGTTCACATTGTGTAGATCCAACTAGGGCACCAACCATTGAACCGCCGCCTGGAATAAGCAAAGGCATTCATACTTTTTGGTAACTACAAATCTACAGAACAGCCGCTTACAGATAGAGAGACCTTATTTCATTATTTATGTAAGTCGGCGGCAGCTATAGAGGAGTGATAAAGATGTATGACATCCTCCCTTCTAAGGAACCCCATGTACACATTATCATGTGTGCTCCCTATATGTCATCACTTAAGAATAGCATACTAGCAGTTTAGATTAGAGTGCATCTGAATTCTTTTAATTTTAACGCACTAGGTTGAAATGGTCCAGGGTGCAAATTTAGAGGTCACTTGCTAAGTGGAAAGGTACACTTTAAGTTCCCAATTGTTCGACACTAGGTAATCTCAAACATACTCATATGTAATCAATTAAGAATAGCATACTAGCAGTTCAGATTAGAGTTCATCTGAATTCTTTTAATTTTAAGGTATTAGAATGAATTCCATCATTTGCAATGGAGCCAAAGATTCATTATTGTTTGGCTTGAAAATATGATGGAATAAAGCAAAATGACTCACTAAACTAGAAAAGGCATACCACGTAAGTATATCGGTGTCATCATGTATATGTATGAGGCTTGAACTATAAGTGTTCGATTGTCCGTACTAGTGTAAGGAGGGCCACAAAGTTCTTTATTACTATCGAAGTGTACCAAGGATCGGCTCTGAGTTCTTTCTTATTTGCAATAAGTCATGGATGAACTTTCGAAGTCAAGTCAAGAAGATATACTGTGGTGCATGATGTTTGCCGACGATATTGTGTTGATTAATGAAGTTGGAAGTATGACGACAAACATCGGAGACCAAGGGTTTTAGACTAAGTCGAAGCAAGACTGAACATTTGTTAGGTAGAAATAGTGATAACAGTGGGATTACCCTTGATGGCAAAGAAAGACAAGTCTGCGATATGCTCTGTTGCTTGGGCTCCATAATTCAGGACGTTGAATTAGATGGAGTTGTATCCCATAGAATCCAAACAAATGGATGAAATGGAAGAACACATCACGATTCCTATGTGATCGAGGATTTCTAGGTTAATTTTATTAAACAACAATTAGACCTGCATTACTATATGGAGTAGAGTGATGGGCGGTGAAACAATGTCAGATTCAAAAGATGAGATACACATCTTGCGTTGGATGTGTGGACATACCATAAAAGACCACTTGAGGAATAAGATAATTAGACAAAAAATGGGAGTAACACCTATAAAAGATAAGGTGCACCAGATCGAGTGATCATGCATGCAGAAGATCGAGTGATGCACCATTTAAACGAGTGGACATGTGGAGAGAAGAGGTGGGGAGACGAGGTGGGGATGAAAGGGAGTGGGATAGGAAGACCCAAAGAGGCATGCATTAGAGGAATCATGAGTGATACGCTTCTTTTTGGGTTGGATGAGAGTATGGCTTTGGATTGATCTTTTTTCTCTTATCCTTTTAACCTCTTTATCTTATTTTTTTATATCTATCTTAAATTTATCTTTAACTTAGATTTATATTTATCTTTATTTTATCTTACCTTATTGTTTTTTATTTTTTATCTTTCTTTTCTTTTTGGCTCCGACATCATGTATCGTTTCATGTTAGCCTACCCCAAAATCTTTCGGGACTAAGACTTGAATGTTGTTGTTGTTGTAGTATAACAATTTAGGGACTAAATTTATAAAATGAGAACAATTGATCCAATATTACATAATGTCAAAGGATACGGTGATTAGAAGTGCGATTTTCCATCTTAACATGTTTGTCCCAGAGCATTTAATGCATGATGTTTGTAATCAGAAAGGTATTGTACAAGAGGCAATATAAAAAAAAATAAAAACCTGCCCATTCTTGAGCATCTGTTAGATGAGTGACAGCATCGCGGTTCGTTGCAATGAATAGACACCCTGGATTTTCACGTATACACAAAGTTCCATACCTTTGATAACCGTAACCAAGGGTTTGATATGCAACAGGAGAAGAAAGAAAGGAAAGAGAAAACGTTAGAGGCCAATAAAAAACCAAGGAAGAGCATAAATGCATAAATATGAAGCCTATCTACTCTAAAACCATCAATCATTCCCCCACACAGATAGCCTCTGCGTAGTCACTCAAATTTGAACAATTTTGAGAATTTAGGAATGTTACTTTCACTCTTTAACAAGAAGACGCCTAAGCATTTAGCACAAAAATGGTGGACATAATCAACACAAGTAGGGTTTGGCATCACTTCTAAAACAATCATTAAAACAAAACTTTAACAGGTTTTCTGCTATGTAAAGGATTAAATACATGGAAACTTACTGGACTTTGTAGTAATTGAAATTACGATCAAATCCAACAACAACGGCCCCAACCTGAATGGACATTGACAGAACTTTAAGTGCACCTTACTAATGGCCCCTGTCCCTAAATAACGTTCATTCTTTCTTATTTCGTTAATCCCTTTCTTTTCATATTTGCTAAAAACACATTACCTCACACCCTCCTTTAAAATCCCCAACCTGCAACCCATTAATGACTCCCAACTACATACCACAAGGGCAAACTTGGAAGCCAAATGGTGACATATTTGATATGTTCGAAACCATGCAAGTCAAAGCGTGAAACTTAATTAAGGGACAAAGGTACTACTACATAACATTGATAGGGTGGACTTTTTATTACATGCCCAGTCATGGAATATTTCAAAATGATGCACAATTACACCTAGTGAAAAAAACCATACATTCTCATCATGCTCCATTACAAATCCAGGCTTTAGTTCTATCTTTTTCCCACCATCAGCCTGCATGGAATGATATGCAAAATCCCAAATGCCATAAGTGTTGAAAACTGACAAGGTAGCGATAAAGGACCATATGATGAGTGTGTGTGTGTGACTGTGTGTATAAAAGATAATTGTGAAATCACATGACATTTGCTGATATTTTGGCTTACCGGCCCGCCAAGAGACTGGAACCCAGCTAACTCGATCTCTTTCAGTATTCCTTCCTCACCAATTACGTAAACCTATAAAAAATGAATGTCAGTTCAAGTCAGCCAATCAGCCATTTTTGGACCAATAATGCACTGCTAGGAAAGAAGAAAACCAGAACAGGAAAACGAATTAGACCTTAACTTAAGCAAGGAAAATATTAAATGAAAAAGGGTACTACTCCACCATCCCAAAAAAGGAGTCTTGTTTGAAAACATATTTTTGCCACCAAAAAGAGTTATTTGAACAAAATAAGCTATTTTTCATCAAGCTAAATGTATTTTGTCTTCTCAAAAAGTGTCACAAACAGGTTCAGTATAGTCAAACCAACAAGTAAATTTAAAAATGTAGCTAGAGTTGATAAGTTATAATAGATGTACATTAATAAAAATAATAAGTTGTACCTTGGCGAAACCTAACTACTTTTTTTGGACAGAGGTAGTATTACTACTATATATAAACCCAAACAACATTTTGACAAGGCCAAACATACATCATAGTCTGGGATTCAGATTCCATCATGTGATGCTCTTACTAGTGAAAACTCTGAGGTTACTTATTCTGTATGTGATAGCAACATATAAATACCTATCTGACCTACCTTCTTATCTTTGGGGAAATCAATAGACTTTAAGTAAGCAGCAACAGAAAATGATGATGCAAATATCTCTTCCTGTCATGCAGAAAAAGAGTTTGCTTAGTTTATCAAATGAGTCTTTAATTCTTTATAAAATAAGATAAAAGAAGTCAATGACAGACGGACCTCGGTGACATGAAGGCCAAGTGCCTTGAACTTTTCTCCATATTGTTTCCTAGATTTTGTTGAATTGTTGGTAACAAAAACTAACCTCTTTCCCTGAAGAAGTGCAACCAAAAAAGCATGTGAATTGTTAAAAAGAAAAAAAGTATTTTAGAAGGCTACAACTATATCATTAAAGAAATAAAATTATAGTCTCCATCAAAGTGATAGTGAACTTAATGCTAAACCTGATATAGATTTCTTTGTACATAGAGTGCTGACCTTTGCCCTGAGCATATCAAGAGTTTCGGGAACTCCATCTATTAATTTTTCTCCCTTCCATAGAACTCCTATAATAGAAAACACAAATGAGAAAAACCACAACCAGTATTTCATTAAGACTTAGGCTCCATCTAAAAGATCAATCTCATATGAGACAATTGTTCATTGGAGCATACATCATCATCATTTACCCCAGTGCCGCAAAGGCTCCCACCTACGGTGGGGTAAGGGGGGTCGGATGTACGCAGTCTTACCCCTGTACTATAGCACAGAGAGACTGTTTCCGGATGACCCATAATGAAAATCGCGTCCAAAATTGCATGGATTGACTGTTCATTGGAGCATACCAATATTGAAATTTGTATGCTCATTTTTTCAGCATACCAAGGTTGAATTGTTATTTTAGACTTTATGTGTTCAAATAGCATATCAGGATTCACGACTCATGAATAGCATATGAGGAGTAGCATAATTCTTTATATGTTAATTTTTTTTATATCTTTTCAAAGATTGTTTTTGTGTCGATGTAAAGTGCTTCTCCCTCCATATAAAAAATAATTGTCCCAATTTCCTTTTCGGGTTGTATCAAATTAATTGTCTCATTTATTTTTTTGGAAAGACTTGTACCCCAAAACAGCTATAGTACACTTTAATAAAGTACAAGTATATAGTATTGCAACAGTACCAAACGCCTCTTACTTTGTGTTAAGTGTAACATTTTTTAAACTACGTGAAGCACCAAATAGGACACTAATTTTGGTATGGGCATCATTTTTTTGCTTTTCCATTCAACGGCACAAATTTGTCTTAGGTATGATACTCAATTACCTGTAATATCATTGGTCCATGCAATCAGATACTTTGGAATTTATCTAAGTTATTAACAATCTCTCAGATTTAACACCTATCATGCTTCACAAGGGATGTTACCAATTACCGCCTAACAAGCTTGATATCAATTCTAACTGCATTCAAGAATTTACTGTGCTATCCATTTAAGGTTACTTACTAAAACATAAAATCAAATTGTATGTCAGGAGTGCTAGGATCAACCAGTAGACTAATATAAGTAGAAGTACAAAATAATCACAAGCAAAAAAAATTAATTTTGAAATGATTTTATGTTAAATAAGCTGATTATCATTAAAAAGCGCATAGAACAAAAAAACATAACAGGGTCATGAAAAAATTGTTGCGCTTACCATCACAGTCAAATATGAAGGTCTCAACGCAATCGATTAGTTTATCAGCATTATTGAGTGGCTGGGCAGATTCCGAAACCTCCATTCTTGAATTCTTATTAGTATGTGTATATAAGAGGATAGGGTTTTGCGAGCAAGGAGAAACAGACTGTTAGCCTGCACTGCATTTTGTAATTGTGTTTTAGCCAACCGTTTCAGGGGATTAAATCTAGATATCATTTTTTTGGGAAATAAGTGTCCCAGCCTCGTCGTCCGACCTTCCGCGTGGAAGTGGTCCCAGCCTGAAAATAGAGCACTTCCAGATTGCATTTTGGTCCTCGAGTGGTTGGGCAGGGGACATTTTGATGGTCCCGGATAGAGGTAAAAGTCTAGAGGGGGGGGGGGGGGTGAATAGACTTTTAAATCTTTTTCAACTTTATGAAGTTTTCCCTCTAGATGAGTTGATCTATAATCTTTTAAGAGATTAATAGATGCACAGCGGAAGTCTTTAACCTCTTTATACTTGGTGTGAGATAACTTTCTAGTTTAGATGATGTTTAGACTGGTGACAAGAGGAAGTTGGCTTGGCAGTAGACTGGTGAGCAGGTAACTGCTTAGTCTACTGCTGCACAGGCAGTTTGCTGACTGGCAGGCAACTGCTGAGTTGGCAGTCGACTGGTGGGCAGGTTACTGCTGAGGCAACTGTTAAGAACAGGATGACTCTTGGATGGCTTTTTGTTCTGGCTTGTTATGGCGTTCGGAAAGACACATATAAATGGGCAGTGGGCTCAGCAGGAGGGTGAAGACCAGGGTACTGCTGAGGCACCTTCTGAGTGTAAAATAACTTCTAGTGGAAAACACTCTCAAGGAGAGTGAGTTATTAAGCAGTAGGCTAAGCAGTACAGTCGATGAAGACTACTGCTTAGGATGCTGCTGGCAAACTACAGTCCTTTAGTGAGATGTGTTTGGTGTGTGCTTCTGTATGTATGAAAGTAAATCAACACACGATATATCCTGGTTCAGAGGTGGTGTAATCCTCCTACATCCAGTCCCACCCTATTTCAGATGGATTTCCACTAAAGTATTCAGCCCAATACAATTAGTGCCAATCTAGCCTTGACAACTCTGGCCTAGATTGAAGGTTTTTCACGATGAGTATAACACCACTCAAAGTTACTCAGTCCTTAGACTTTTCTCAATTGATCCAGTGGGGATCAAAAGGTACTCTATCTATCTAACCACACTTTAGGATCCGAACAACTGTTCTCCTAAGTGTTTACAACAACATGAATTGATTCACGAAGTGTCTAACCGCCAACTAAAACCTAAGCTCTATAAATGTTACAATGAATGATCTAGTCTAAGAGCTTAGTGAAGCATGAGTCAAAGCAGAGTGTTCAAGCACTTTTTCCTTTGCTGGATATGCGTAGTGTAATGACTGAACCACTTGCTTTGAACTCAATGACTTACCTTTGATCTCATGCTTCTGCCTATTTTTATAGGCATCTCCAGTAGATTAATTTCCTCCGTTGGTTAAGAGGATTTAATCCTAGACGTCCAAAGTTTTGTACTTGCGTCTTCTTGTGTTGGAGCAGGATAAGGATTTGTCTTTTGAAGACCACTTGCTTTGTACGAAGATAACACCCATACCTTAGGCCTTCTTATCGCTGCATGCCTATTCTGAAACTCTTCACTATTCACCTAATCAGATGTCTTCTCTCCTCTTGCGTTCTGAGTGTATTGGCCTTGTCTTGCAACTACACTTGTAAAGCTGAGTGCGTGAACCTGCTCAATTTGTGTAGTGAAGTAGTAAAATGTGTGACTTAGAATATTTTGTATCAAATAAGTTTTGTACTGGTAGGATCTTTGAAATATCCTATTAAGGTAATAGGATTACCTTATTGCATTTTGTTCTTTCCAGTACAATTTATTTGGTACAAATTTCACAGTAAAATTTGTCACTTATTTTACTAATCACTTTCTTTCTTTAAGTGACATGATTAAACTTATGTACCAAATTAAAGCTATACTGGTTGGATCTAAATATCCATGTAAGGTAAATGATTTTCACCTTATTGTATTTTATCGTTCCAGTATGTTTAATCTGATACATAGTTTGTACATTGGAATTCTTGTCACTTTTAAGTACTTGGGTAGTTTAGCAGGTATTGTGGACAACTTAACTGGTAGGATAACAAATCCTATTAAGGTAAAAGTTATTACCTTATTGCATTTTATGTTCCAGTTAGTTGTTCACTATTCTTGTTCACTTTGATTTATCTATATATCAAATAACACTTTACTGGTTGGATTTAAATATCCAATTTCAAGATAAAGACAACTTTACCTTATTTCATTTTGAATCCCAGTGTGTTCTTTTTGTTATATAGAATTTACATTGATATTTGTTGTAGTGAACAGAATATCAATAACTCTTCTTCTGAGTGTATGGTTTATCTAGTATTTCGAACATGATAAGCTAAATATTTAACTGGTAGGATATCAACTCCTATTAAGGTAAAATTACCTTATTGCATTTTGTTTTCCAGTTAAAATAAATAGTTTATTTGTACGAGATGTTATTGTGTGTAACAAATAAATTTAACTGGTTGGATTTATACGATATCCTTTTAAGGCAATACAATATTGCCTTATTGCATTTTATGGTTTTCCAGTCATATTTATTTGTTAACTATATAAAAGGAGCACGACACATCTAGATAATTTTCTTAGTACTCGACAACTGCAAGATGCTACAACAGAGGATAACAAAGACTCCTATAATAATACTACAATAGAGGGGGGATAACAAAAGCTTTTGGCATCATCAAAAACAGTTTATCAACCAATCAACTGGGGTCTAACAATTTCCCCCTTTTGTGATGATGCCAAAAGAAGAGTTCTAATTATTAAAACTCTCTTTCCCCCTCTTTTGGTAGCATTCACAAATCACTCGGTCCTTCTCCTTCTGCTTGATGATTCTCCTTGGGCAAAGTTGGAGAGCCTCTTCTGCATCCTTTGATGATCCTTCTCTCTGAGATTCTTCATTTTCTCGTAGAAGACTCGCCAATTTCCAGAGATGTTCATGGCAGTTTCCACATTTGGGGCTTGAAGCCATTGAAGAACAAATTGTTCTTCAACTCTGATAAAAGCAGTGGCTTGAGAGAGCATGTCAATAGGAGCCGATCTCCATTTTCTCCAGTTGAGGACTCTTGTGAGTTGGTTTTCGAGAGCTTCCTTTTCTTTGAGAGACTGGATTCTTAAATTTAAGAATTCTTCTTGATCCAACTGTTGTGGAGTAGGCTGTTGTGTGGAGGAAGGTTGGGCTAGTGAGAGGTTCAGGAATGGTTCAAAAGGCTTGTTGTTGGAGTTGTTATCGGCCATTTTTGAAGTAGAGGAGCTTTGAGAAAGATTAAGGAAGAATAAGAATATCGGAGCTCTAAGAATTTGGAATGGACTAACATCGGCTTTGGAGGAGAGATTTATATCCAATTGTGCAGATGATCTCTTCGTTTTCCGAGATCGGTTTTAATTAACCGAGACCTGTTTAATGTTAAGCGGCAGGTTTCTCTTTTAGAGAGAAAGCGTGAGAATTAAATGATATTGGTGTCTTATCATTTATGAAGCCGCTTAATCTTGGATCAGCAAGTGTCGTTCTTGCATGTTGCATGACTCATAACCTTCTTCAGCATTAATGAAGTCTGATACTTCCTTGTGTATGCTCTTGTTGGCTTAGATATGGAAAATTCTAGACTACTGTTTCCAGCAGTAATAGGGTGCTAACTATTTTGTTGAGTGTCCTTTATTTTAATAGGATGGATTTTCCTACTAAGAATTAGGATTTTTTTTTTTTAGAATAGTAGCATTTTTTGTTTATTCCATACTACTGAGTTTGAATAAGTGAGCATGGTACCTTTATGAATAATGCGTGATCTCAGATTGTTGACTCATCTTGTTTATTGGTCATGACTCTTGTTGAACAACACTCATTCCCCCTTAGGTGATGCTTCTTAGAAAATTCCTTCTGGTATAAAATTTTCTTAGTTCCCCCTCAATTGATGCCAAGATGATTGACTCAGGTAGCTGCATTGAGTGTGAGCATTTTAAGTAGTCTTTTCGAGCCTTCTGCCGATCTTTCCAGCCTCCTGCTTAGAAGACGTATTTAGCCGAGTGCTCTGCTGAGACCTTTGCTGAGACATCTGCCTTTGACAAAGTGCCTTGCTGCTGAGGTAGACACCTGTTGATAGCATCAATGCAGTCTTTTTGAGCAGTGACCTGAGTGTCAGTTGTCTGCTGAGTCTGCTGCTTCAGGTGAGCAGTCATCTGCTGAGACTGCTGCTTCAGGAGAGTAGTCTTCTGCTGATCTTCTGTTTGGATTTGGTTTCCCTTCTTAGTTGAAAGTCTGAGATTGACTTTCATGGACCTTGATGCTTCATTCCTGTGGGATGGATGCACTAGACTACTTTTCTTGACTCATCATGGATCTAGCAGTGAACTCAGGCAGGATGTAGGTTCTTCAGAGGGTCATTTTGAGCAGTAAGATTTGTACTCATTGTAGCTTGCTTTTTATAGCCGGCTATCCTTGAGTATTTTATAAGAGTTCCCCCTCAGCAGGTGGCTAGGAATTCCTCTACAGTTTGAGAGTTCACAGAGAGTTCTTCAAGAGTTTGAATACATTCTCCTCCCTTAGTAGATCATTTAGGAAGGCAAATTTTCACAGCCATTTGATGGAAAGTGATTTGCTAATTAGACGACATTTAGCAAGGAGTATCCTTTTGCTTAAAGTCGTGTAACAGAGGCAAAAGTTTCATCAAAATCTGTTTCTTCTTTTTGTTAGTAGCCTATGACTACTAATCTGGCCTTTCTTGATGGTGGTGCCTTCCTCATCCATTTTGTTCTTGAATGCCCTTCTCAGGATTTTGGGCACAAGTTACCATACTTCTCTAAGATAGAGAACTTTGTGTATGGTTTGTATCCAGTCTGAAGTTGAGAAGGTTTCTTGGATTCAGTTTGTTGAGAGAAAAGTTGGCTTCCCTTTTGTGTAATGATCTAGTATGAATCCCTTCATGGATGTCTTCTTATTGAGGAGGATGTTGCCACATGCTTTGCTTGAGTCTACTGCATTTCATCATCTTGTGTCTAACAATTG